TTTTCCCTTTCTTTTCTTTTCCCCTTAATAATGGTCTGGCAGGTCTGGAGAAATCCTTTTTTTTTTTTTCAACATGCTCAAACCCTTGATTTATTTTTCCTGAAATGTTTTATTTAAGAATCATCAGTTGCTAATTTTAACCAAAAAATAAAACAAATGAAAATCAACATTTAGAGTGCGCATGACAATCATTCTGTGCCCGGGAACTATTTCTGAACAGAAATAATTTTTTTTTATTCTGTGCCCAGAAACAATTTTGGTGCATTTGAAGGCGTTTGGTAAACTGTCCAAAATTTCTATTCCTGGAATAGAAAAGAACAGAAATGCGTTTGGTAACTACACACAAATTTCTTTTTATTAATAATATTTTGAATTGTTTAATTTTTTTTTTCTACCCAGGCCATGGCCGGTCGCCGGTCGTCGGCGACCAGCCACAACCCAAGAAGAGCAACACAAAAAGAAGAAAAGAAAAAAAAGAAAAAGAAGAAAAAAAACTGATTCTAAAAATTGTGCCGAGAAACAAGAAGCAACTTTTTTTTACTTCTTGTTTCTCTTCCAAACTGTTTCTCGGCACAAATATTTGCAAAAATGTGCCCGGAACAAAAAAGTTTACCAAACGCATTTACGTTCCCAAACTATTTCTGGGAACAAAAGAACAGAAATTTTCACTGTTTGGCACGTTACCAAACGGGCCCTTGGTCTCACTGGAATAATGTCGGGGCTCTGCACGGAAATGCATGAAAGCGTAAGGTTGATTAATAATTTGTTGTGTTCGAATTAAAATTGTAAATTACTTTCATTTTATAATCGTAAGATACAATGTATTACGAAATTTAGAATTCAGAAAGTGTGGAATTGATTTATTGCTTGGAGGTGATCACTGCTCTACCAATTAGAATCCTAATAGGCATGGGAACGTTTTTAAAAATTAAAAAAAATGACAATTTTATTGTCGAGGAGTATGGAGCTCCGGTAAAAAGGATCTCATTAGAGGCGGTCAACTGGAAGAGAATCAACAATTCATTGCCAAAGTCATCGACGACGACAAATATGGTGAAGGTTTTCGACAAGAGCCTTCATCAGTCGACAAAAATGCGTCGATTCCAATACAAGTTGACGGTTGATTGTCCCAATAGTCTCGAAAGTTGTAACTTGGGTAATGATAATTAGAGCACAAGGAGCGTGCCTAAAATGTCCAGGAACATGTACCGATAACCGTAACTTGGTGAGTTTAACCCCCAAAACAAATCCATAATTTAGGGAGTTACTAGTAGATCTAAAGTGATACCCAATTAGTCATAACTGCCGAAGTTGGGCTGAGGACCTTGGTGCTTGGGATTGGATCCCCAGCATGCGATCATGGTCCCCAATGTTTGAGCTCACAACTCTATCACTAGGTCTAGGTCCCCGAGGCTGGCCCAGGATCACGGTGCCTGTCAACAAGTCCCTATGGCATTGAATGAGACCCCGGTGGCCAGGCCCTAGTACTTGGTTCCCGCACCCAGGTGCCTGGTGCTTGTGCCCTCGCCTAGGTCTTTCGAGGTTATGCCCGGGCCGAGTCCGTGGCATCCATGCCTAAGACCTCGATGGCCAGGCTTGGGTACCAACTCATGTGCCATGTGCCTGTGTCCCTCAAGTCCAAGCCTAGGTCCCCAACGCTCGGGCTCTTCAAGGCCCGGTCCCGATGGCACTGGTCCTTCATCTCACCTGTTGAAACTCCTTTTATTTTCAGTATCAATGTATTAAAGCTTGTTGTAGTTGCCAAAAACATGAAGCTTTATTTCATCCAGCACGTCCTGCCACCAGGTTCATTGTTTTTTGCTCCGTTTCCGCCTATTTTGGTACTGAAATTCTCTCTGGATTGTACCAGATAATTTCGAGCGAATTTGAATGTTTGCAACGTGACTGTCATACTAGTCTTTGATAAATTTGATGCATAATACAACTCCATTGAAGATCTTGACTCTGCAGAAAGGAAAGAAATTGGCTTTCTTTATTGAAAATGTAATCCTCAAAGTCCAGGAAAAAGACTTTCCACGGCGGGAGCCTGATTCCTTCGGTCGGAGCAAGCTAACCTAATGGAATAAAAAAGAAGTTTGGTGAGATTTCTCCCCATAACGATCAACAAGATTCACACAGCATATTGTTCTGCAGAGTCATGCCCGCCTCTATATGCAGCAATTTGGTGAGATTTCATGATCCAATTCTCTATAGCTGTCACTAGTTATGATTCAGCAGGAAAATGATGTGTTCTAATGAGATCTAACCAGGAAACATGGCCAGAATGTCAGCTACGCTCCTTGAACTCAGTTGAAAATGCGAGACCTATGGGAATGAGTATGACCCCCGAATCGACGAACACCACCTTTGCATTTTTGGGCTAGATCTTCTGCTGTTGTATGACTGAGACCGAAATCTACCTATGACGTCTGTTGTAGCGAGCAGGTCTCCGATGACCCCAAACTTGGGGAATTCACTCCATTCGTGAAGTCCCAATGTCTGAGGGAATGCTTCTTTCTGGCACCGCCCCAAGGTAATCAGGTCATACTCTCATTCCCATGGGTCTTAAAAGTGCCGTGTTAGGTCCCTCATCCACCTTCTCCTCTGTACGAAACATTCCCGTTGCCTATACTGCCACTCTTGACATCCTTTAGGATTTCAGGATCATACATCTTTTCCCAGTTGGTAATGCCTTCATCCGAATGGTAGGTGATGTGGACAACATCCAGAGTGATGTTTGTACCGTTTGGCATGCGATTCGCCAGAGTCAATGCCTCCCTGTCGTGGTTGCCTCCAAGAAGGATCATGGCCACTCAAAAAGGTGCCTGCTCTGATGAGAGAAGTGAATTGGAGCCTCCTAGGCGACCGCAGTCCGCTAATATACCGATCAAACAAGGAGCCCTCTTGAGAACACTGCTGTTCAGGATCCTCTGCTTTTTGTCCTCCGATTCCAGGGACGTGTCCTCGGACCACTTACGGTGAAAGTGTAGACTGTGAGGTAGCTGAGTTTGTTAAGTTCCGACATGCATATGTCCCCGTGCATCAACCTTGGCGGTGAGATCGCCGTGAAAACGTTTGCTGATCCGGCATCCCAACGATCTTGTTCGTAGTGACTGAATGCAGTGATGATGTTCTCTGAGTATGAGCATCTGATGGGAGTCCTCTTCTTTATCCTATGAGAATTAAATACAGGGGAGGCTCGGCCGACCAGATCGACAAGGTGGAGGCCGTAGAGGGCAACTGTTCGTTCTTTGGTGGCACAGGTGGCATCTAATAAGTTGAGGAGTGCTGCAACATTATCAGGTCTATGAATGGTGGCGACAATTCGGAGCTCGGCATCGGGTTTCAGATGCAAGATGTTCCTCTGCTGGTAACCCGCGTATTTCCTCTAAGGGTCATAAAAGTACTTCAAACCACATGGACTGACGATTGCGATCGCCAAGATAAACGCAACCAGGAAAGAGTATATGTCATTGGCTATAACCTGCAGAGATGCAAAGAAATAGAGAAAGCGAGGACATTTGATATAAAGAACTACTAATGAACTCCTTTTGTGGTATTTCCTTGTTTTTCAGTGGGGATGTTCACTGATTCATTGAGAAAATTTCTCAAAAGATCATATGCCAAATAAAAGAGTTTCTAAAGTGTCTATGCTCTTCAAATCACAGAATTTAGAGTTTCCACAGATAATTGCATATCAGATGAGACATGACAATGCATTTTCATTGGTCTATGGATTACCTTATGGTCTCTGAGAAAGCTCATCCCAGCCAAGTCTACCACGCCTTTGCTGCTCATTCTGAAAGCAAGGGCCAACATGTCTCGTTAGGGCAAATTCAAGCCTAAGGAACCATAAAGCCTACAAATTTTGCCACGACTATTAGAGCAGTAACGTTGCTGCTAACCTGGAGGAAGTCTCTGCTGCAATGGAACTCTGAGAAGTTGGCCTTCATCACCCTCGTAGTTATAAAGAGAGGCAAAAGCACACCCGAAGTAAAGCAATCCAACTTCCCCACTAAGTTAGCTCCTAATGGTGGGCCATCAGGGATGGCTAAACCCAGAATAAACGGCGCAAGGAAGCTAGAAAGCCCCGCCAAATGGAATATCAATGAAGAAGTGAGGAAATACAGAATTATGGCATAGACATACACGTTCTTAACCGGCCTGCCTTCTGGCGTTCGCCTGATGATCCAATTCATCGCTGGCTGAATCACTTTGATAACGAAAGCAAGGTGCACGAGCACACCCAGGACCCTTCCTATAGCTATCAAACGCTTATCCTTCTTAACTCCATTAATAGCCGAGGTGCTTATAAGTTGAAGAAACATGCTCAGTACATCACTGACCAGTGCAGAAGACAGTCCTAAACGGCCGAATTTCCAAGATTTTGAGGCAAGCAATGATGGGAAATGGATTATAGACTGCAACGCGGCGACATTAACTAGAGCCAATTTGCTATCACGAGAAGGGTGCCACGCAGCACCGAGTTTTACCACACCTAATAGTCCAAACAGTAACAGCATCAACAATGATGCTACGCCAGTGTATAAACCTTTTTTCCCTGTCATCAGAACCATGCTGATGTTGATCGTCATGCCGGTCAAGAGAAGAAAAATTAGCCAACCGAAATGAGTAAAGATGCCAACCATATATGGCTCTCAATAGTGAAGAGAGCCCTCACATGTTTTTCCCTAAGGTGGACAAAACAAATTAGGGCCAAGGATTATACCGGCTTGGTTCACAAAAACAAGATGAAGAAATACAACACCATCAATAGCCGCTTATTCATTTCAGAGAATGAAAATGATCCTGCTTGATGTACGAAACAGAATGGATGAATGAAGAAAGCATCGCATAATTGATATATCTACTATGAATTGCCATTGCAATGAAAATGAAAATGAAAACACTGCGAGATAAGTGCGACAATTACATGATTAGTAATTAATTATAGGGTAGCACCAAAATTCCTCAGTTATTACTGCATTGTTCTAGAGAAGCTAGGGTCTGTAAAACAAGGGAGTGATTGTAGCAACATCGTTTCGGCCTTTCTTGCCAAGGAAGACATCGCTTAGAACTGTCTTGGACTGCAACAATGCCTCCAACAGGAATTTTCCCTGCCAATGTAACCACCAAAGGGTTGATACAAAGTTAATTGTCGTCGACTGAACATACTGTAGATCTTGAAACAGATTTTAAAGGAATTATGACCACGTACATCGTCTGAATTCGTTCAATGCTCTTTAGTCTAGCTGTGAGGATGAAACGAAATGCCGTACATGTGGTGAAAGACAAAAAAAGCACGTACACAAATGTAGTTGGATTCGGCTTACCTCATCCACCCCAAAATCAACAAACTTGTCCTCAAACATTGCAGACTTGTCCTTCAACATGGCGATGCATGAGTCAATAGTCATCGGTTTCACCACCAGATCATCCATCACCACATACTTCACCAGCTCATTCACGTAACCAGTCTCCCCGGTTGGCAATTTGATGAAATCCACTCTTCGGTCCATGACAGAGTCACACAAAGGACATTTCACAGAAGGGTCGTCAGTGACCTTTTTACAGTAACGATAAGTACAATCCTTAGTCGGGCACAAGTAACAGTGGGGTTGGCGTGATGAAGATGGTGAATCACTAGGCAATAAAAGAGTGAACGGGAATGTGATGTTTGAACCACAGTTGGGGAACTTGGGCTTCAAGAGGTTCTGCTTGTGGCGGGGCATCATGAAGTACATATCCTCCAAGCCCTCAATGCTCTTGTAAAGATTGCCTAAGCTGCCGTCCATGGAGTCGGCTTTCCCGGCTAGAATGCGCGCGAGAGTCCCGATCGGTAAGGCTTGGACGTGGAAGAGGAAGTCCACAAAGTCTTTTCCTGCTTCGGCAAAAACCACTCTTCGCTTGCTCTTGTCGACCACGAGCTTCAGCTTCAACTTTGGTGATGACTCCATTACCTTCTTTTTGTGAGCAGAGTCTATTATGTTTCTTTGTTACTGGGAAGTACGTATATATAGGGGCTACCCAGTTCAACTCATTGGAACAGTCATGGATACTATAGAGAGTCCAAGGGGCTCGGAGGAAGGCAATGAGACAGTAGTGAAGAGTGCATCATGCATTGTTTGGCCTTATCGTCTCGAAGAAGAAAAATCAATACACTGGATGATGATGGAGAAAAGGGAACTGGGAGGGTTTCATGAATCTAAATATGAATGTTCCCGAGGAAATTTATGGGTTTAGGATTGCTATGAACTGTGATGGGTCGGGTTGAGGCTTTCATCTTGTATTCAATCCCTATTGACCTTGACAGATCTTCACTTAGGCGTGGATATCGGAAGGCTTTTTATCTTATCAATTTTGTCGATTAGTATTTCAGAGGCACTTTTTAAGTGATTGATTAAGAAAAATGCCGCGTTTCCAATGCACTAACAATTCTCAGCATCATGTGAAATCAATGCTCCGAATATCAAACTATTTCAAATTAAGTACTTAATAATATCTCAAAAATACTTGCTAATAAGATCATTATTGTATATACCAGTTGCGAGAATTAACAATGTACTTTATTATTGTCTATATCTTCTTTTTCTTCAATATAGTTAGCTCGGTAATTTATTTTCGAGCAATGATCTTTTTCAACGTGACCATATTTTTCACAAGAGCAGCATTGTAGTTTATCTCGAAATTGACAATAAATTTCCGAAGGATTTGTTTTTATATATATTTTTTTGTAAATACTCTAAGTTGGATATTTTTCCTTTGAGGTTTCTCCTCCTCTTTTATTTTTCCGCCATCTTTTTCCACCACTTTTAGATTTATGAGACCATTTTTTTTTTAAACTGAAAGGGTTGTACCATAAGTCTTTTTTCACGTGCCTCTATGGAGCCAATAAATTCACACACCAACAATTTTTCTATAGGGGCGACAATAGGATTGTTATGCGTCACCAATATTTTTTCTACTATCCTTTGATAAGTGATATGATCTCACTGTACTCTTATTTGATTTAATAGTTCTTTTAATTCACCACAATATTGTTGGACAGTATTATAATCTTTCATTTTAGACTTTTTAGTGTTTTCCAATTCCCTCCGATGACATTGATGGCCTGAACTGTGAGCCGAAGTTCATTTTGGGCGATGAATCTGAAGACGAAGTCTCAGGCAATCGAAGTAGGAGTTCAGAGACAATGGCAGGTGCATTGGGTTTCAAGAGAATGTCTTTCTTGGAAGATTTGATGTACTTAGTTCAGCTTCTCAACGTAGCCGTGGAGCTTGCCTAAACTGCTCACCATCCCAGTTTTCGCGAGGAGCCTGATCACAGTTCCGACCGGCAATGTTAGGATGTCGAAGAGGATGTCAACAAAGTCCTTCCCACTTTTGGCATATCGTTAAAAGGTTTATGACTAAATTGGTACAAGCGCAATAGGTTTTATAACTTTTTTTGGTAATTACCCCCTCCCCCGAATTACATAATTGACTTTCCTTTTTCACAAGTATGAAGTGAGAAATACAAGTCTAGTGGGGTAAAGGGCTAAAGACATGGGTTGTAGGTCTATATTTTAGAGGTATTAAGATTGTATAAGTCATCAATTTCCATATTTCGGTATAAAACTAAATAATTACTTCCGACTATATTACTGATAGTTCTAATAACACTAAATGGCAAGGCATTTCTTATTCATGTAGGAATTTCTTAATAGAAATAGTGGGTCTCCGATTATATCTCCTCTGAAATGTAAAATATATCTCTCTCCAGTTTTAAAATTACAAAAAAAAAAAAAAGAAAGAAGAAGATTCATATGAGCTCAACGATTATATACTTTTGAAATTTAGAAATTAAAAATAAATGAAAACTAATGGTAAACGCTTAAAGTAAAAAAGGTAAAAATCGCCTCAAGAACACACCGAGGGCTAACTTTTAATTAAGAAAAGGGGAAATGCCATCAAAAAACCTAAATTATGCACACCGTGACATATTTACCCTAAATTTTTTTGACGCTATAAATCTCAAATTTGTACTTGTGTGATACACTTACCCTCCGTCAAAATTCTGTTAATGAGAATTGTTAAAAATATACCTATATGGACGCCAGAAAGCAAATAGTATTGACATGGAGCTCTCGTGACTTAAGTGAGATAAAAATGACACTGTTTTAATTGAAAAATCATCTACATAAGTGCAAATTTGGGATTTAAAAAAGTTTAAAGTACATGTCTTACGGTGGGTATAATTTCGGATTTTTTGTCACAAAAAAAAAGTTCAGGGTAAATATGTTACAGTAAGCGTAGTCTGAGATTTTTTTTGTAACATTTTCCCTTAAGAAAAAGATAAAAAAAAAAAAGAGTAAAAAGAAGAAGAAGAAGAAAACATACGAAGGAGAGAGGAAGGGTAAGGGAAGCGATGATGGTCGATAAGTGGCCGGGGGACCACCGCCACCCCGCTTTTCCCCGGCCCTTTCTTCCAAGTCATCGTCGACATCAAACATCATGAGACGGTGTTAAGTTAATCGCTGCGTCTGCACCTTTTGCGTCCACATGTTCGAAAGAAAAGCAACACCAACAAAAAAATAGAACATATAATTTTATGAATCCAATGTAGTACTAAGGATCATTATCCCAACACCAAGAGGTCAGGAAATTTAAAATTGTTCATTTTTAATTAGATCTTAAGCCGATCTTATTCTTTTCGGACATATCTAATTGAAAAAATCCTTGCGCATTTTGCAGACCGAACACATATGATATCAGTCATCAAGATTTATTTTTTAATTGAAAATGATTACACTAACACAATCAAAATCCTAAATGATAAAAACATGCGGGCTTTGCCGATCACGGCCTGGTTAGGAGTATCAACCGGAATAGAACTCGAACTTCATGCAAAACCTAGTTAAAATGCAATTTCGATAAAAAAAAAAAAAACTTAAAACTGCCCTGTCGACATCGAGTTAACACGTTGTTGTTCCCCTCCTAGGCGGTGGTTGACGATTGCCTAGGAGTTCATTGCCACTGGGAGCCTCTGCGGCCTGTCCCCTCCAATCGGAACGGGCCCTACAAACGCGTTTTTTTTATATCTTATTTTAACGTGTCGGTACCTATGCGCCATAGCCTTCCTGTTGGGACAGTATCTTTTTCTGGTCCCTTCCCCGGCTATACCCTCTATGTTCTTAACATCCCGGCGTCTGGACGAAACCTTTATCGACACGAATGAGCACCGTGCGAACGAAGCCTGTGCCGAGAATTGTTTGGAGAAGACACCGTTGCCGAAGACTTCATCGAGAAGCACCACCAGCACCAGCGCTGTGCTACAGCGAAAAACTTAGCCACGAAGACCCCGTCTCGATAGTTTTTCTCTCTTTCCCGTCTCTGACCCAAAAAGAAAAAGGAGTCATCTTTTTCAAAAGCCCCCGCCTTTTCACGAGCTCCGCCATAAAAGAGGCGAAGCTCTCGGTCTGTGACCAAGACTTTGAGAAGAAGAAGCAGCTCTTAACACTTGCAGGGTCGAAGCGACGGCGATCCGGAGGTGCGCATTTCGTTCTTACTCCGTGTTTTATGAGCTCAGTTTCGCGATTCTTCCTGCGTGGGCATTAAGAGCGGTTCGCTCGAACTCGCCGCGTCCCGTTCATGTGATCCGATCGACTGCTCTTGCGAGTCCGTGTTAGCAGAAAGAAATTGAAGTAGACATGCTCTCGTTTTGTTTCTTTTTTTTCTTTCCTTGTTGCTCCCATGATTGTAGAGCGAAGCTACCACATGTGGACATGCATCGCTGATGATTTTCCGCAGCAGGAGTTGTTTTTAGAGTATCACATGGTTTCTAACTTTTTGCACATCCACTTATCCAACGAAAAGAAAACAAACTGTTGCGTATCTCTCCATTTTCTCTTGTTTTCCATTGAGACGGTCTCGCGATTGCTCTCCCTATAAGTCCAGCTTGATTTTTAAATATTTCCGTGAATTTGTGATGATCTGGCGTTGTCGACTTGGATCAAAAGCTCAGAGCGGTGATCGACAATAGACCCGATCATGGGTCTAACAACCCGTGTGCCCGCAGGCCTAGCCCGAGTCATAAGAGCCCGCAAAGTCATTCTTGGATAGGTTTAGACAAGGGCATTTACCGAGAAAATTCGGTTGGGCCAATTTTAACATTTTTACGTAAAAATACTATCATTGGTGTGCTAGGGCAAAAATTTAGGCTTGACGTTCCCATCAATTATCACCTCTGCTATTCAGCAGATGTCTAACTCAATTGTCACTCCCCGCAGGCCTAGATGCCAGTGCTCATTTTTGTTTTTTTTATGTGATTATCAAACATTGCTTAAGTTCACTTCACTCCGTCATTGGACCTTGATCATCGACCCTCGGCGGTTCTTTGCTTCCACTGATGTCATTTGTCTTCAACTTCATGGAGAGAATTAAGACTGGGACGAAAAACTAGTGAAGTTCTGGGATTTATGGTGCGGTAACGTTTATACATGGAGCAAGACCTGTACTCTGTAGTCTTAATGTTGGATAATTTTCTCGTATGATTTTGCCCCGTCGCCATCAACACAGGACAAAGAGGCATGGAGTAACGATCATTGAAATATTAAATGCTGGAAGAATTCAGTACAGATGATTTGCACAGTTTTATCTGCATTTTGATGAATCTCTTACTTTGAAGAGTCATGCAGCAGGATGGAAACTTTGATTTTCTTTAACCAAACAGCAGCCTAATTCATTCCGTGTTATAGTGAAATTATGGATTAAAACTGTCTTATTGGTACAGTTAATTCTCTGCACAGACCAAGTCCGAGCATGGCAGCAACCAAGATGAGTTTGAAGCTTCTTGTCGACAAGAGAAACCAGACCGTGCTCTTTGCCGAAGCCAGAAAGGACTTTGTGGATTTCCTTTTCCATTGTCTGGCTTTGCCAGTCGGAACTATTATGAGTCTTCTCACGAAAGCAGGCACGGTGGGTGGCTTCGGCAATCTTTACATGAGTGTCGAGAATCTCGGTGACACATACATTACACCTAGAGAGAAAGATGCTCTTTTGAATCCCAAAGCACAGAGCGCCGGTCCAGATGTTCTGCTCTTATTGTTGCCCGAAGCTCCGCCTTCAGTGCCAATTAACTACTACACTTGTCCTCGCAGTGATTTATATAATGTAAACAATTCATGCCGTAGCTGTGTGACAGGTTCCCCTTCTACAAGATGTCCTGGTTGCAACGATAAGATGAGCAAGAAAATGTCATGGGTCGTGGGACCAGCTGCCGATGCCGCATCCTCGGCTGAGGTACCCGGTGGGGAGGGTGGTTATGTGAGTGGCGTCATGTACATGGTGATGGACGATCTGGTTGTGAAGCCCATGTCCCCCATCTCTGGCATTACTCTCCTCAAGAGGTTCAATGTGCACGAAATCGAGGATCTTGAAGAGAAGGTGGTCGACTTCGGCTTGGATGAGGTAAGGCCTGCAGAACTCACATCCTCTTACATTTATGATTCAGTTCCGAATATGTGAACTATTGCAAAAGTGCTATTATCGTTTCCTATAAGAGCAGCTGCGGTGTCCTTTCTCAAGTACCCCTTTTTTAACTTGTCTTGTGCTATGTGATCTTTGCTCAGGCCATAAAGCTGTTGAACGCTTCATTGCACTCCAAAACGGTTCTCACAGACATATTCTGCAGGAGGAAATCAGTGAAACGCTACTCTTCAACTCTAGAAACTAGTCTTTGTTATATATTTGCTTGCTGGGGTAGTTTATACATGCTGGTTTGTAAGATGCTGATGAAGCTATTCAATCCCCGTTGAGAAATTACTTTCTGTTATATATAAGCTTACTCAGAAATCAGTTTATGGTGATAATTGATCCGTGGTCCTATGGTGTGTAAGACGTATGTTACCTCTAATGTACACATGCTTGTCAAGTTGCACAAATGTGTTTTATGCGAATAGCTCCGTCAGTTCACGAAATTGATATATCTACTATGTACTGCTTTCCCAAAGAAAATGAAAACATCTGCAAGGTAAGTGCGACAATCACATGATTAGTAAGTAATTACAAGGTATTGCCAAATTCCTCTGTTACTACTGCATTGCCATAGACAAGCTAGGGTCTGAAATACAAGAGACTTATCCTAGCAAAATCATTTTGGCCTTCCTTGCCAAGGAAGACATCGGTTAGAACTGTCTTGGACTGTAACAGTGCCTACAGCAGCAATTTTCCCTGCCAAAGGAACCACCAAAGGGTGTGTATTATGTTAATTGCCGTCGACTGAACATACTGTAAATTCTGAGAAAGAAATCAAAGAAATCAAGACCACATATACCGTCTGAATTTTGTTCGAGGCTCTTTGGTCCAGTACTCACCAATCAGATCGGTTGTGAAGATAAAACCAACCGCCGTACATGTGGTGAAAGACGGAAAAAAAAGCATTCATCCAAGAACTAGCCAGGAAAACAAATGTAGTTCGATTTGGCTTACCTCGTCCACCCCAAAATCAACAAACTTGTCCACAATTATGGCAGCCTTGTCCTTCAACATTGCGATGCACGAGTCAGTAGTCATTGGCTTCACCACCAGATCGTCCATCACCACATACTTCACCAGCTCTTCCAGTTAGCCACTCTCCCTGGCTGGCACTACGACGAAATCCACTCTTCGGTCAATGATGGCGTCGCAAGGAGGACATTTCACGGAAGGGTCGTAGGCGACCTTCCGACCATAATAAGTACAATCCTTAGTCGGGCACAAGTAGTAGTGGGGTTGGCGTGATGAAAATGGTGAATCACTAGGCAATAAACGAGTGAACGGGAATGTGATGTTTGAACCACAGTTGGGGAACTTGGGCTTCAAGAGGTTCTGCTTGTGGCGGGGCATCATGAAGTACATATCCTCCAAGTCCTCAATGCTCTTGTAAAGATTGCCTAAGCTGCCGTCCATGGAGTCAGCTTTCCCGGCTTGAATGCACTCGAGAGTCACGATCGGTAAGGCGCGGACGTGGAAGAGGAAGTCCCACGAAGTCTTTTCCTGCTTCCGCAAAAACCACTCTGCTTGCTCGTATCGACCTCGAGCTTCAACTTCAACTTTGGTGTTGACTCCATTATCTTCATTTGCTGAGCAGAGTCTTATTATGTTTCTTTGTTACTGGTAGTCCAAGGGGCTTCGAGCCTTCGAGGAAGGCAATGAGACATTGATTGAGAAAAGGGAATAGGGAGGTGTTCCTGATTTTTATTCCAACAGAGAATTTTCATGTTCATCTGCCAAATGAGATTTCATGAAAATTGAAACTTAATTTTCATTTCCAGTGGAAACGGAAATTTGAAAACATTTTTCACGGACCCAAAAAAAGAAAAAAAAGAAATGTCATTTCATAGGTTTCAGACTATATATATATATAGAGGACCTTAATTATCGATTGGAGGACTTTCCAATCGCATATTTGATTGATGAGTAATAAACATGTATATCATCCACGTTTATTCTATTTAAGCTTGCTCTTGTCGACCACGAGCTTCAGCTTCAACTTTGGTGATGACTCCATTACCTTCTTTTTGTGAGCAGAGTCTATTATGTTTCTTTGTTACTGGGAAGTACATATATATAGGGGCTTCCCAGTTCAACTCATTGGAACAATCATGGATACAATAGAGAGTCCAAGGGGCTTGGAGGAAGGCAATGAGACAGTAGCGAAGAGTGCATCATGCATTGTTTGGCCTCATCATCTCGAAAAAGAAAAATCAATACATTGGATGATGATGGAGAAAAGGGAACTGGGAGGGTTTCATGAATCTAAATATGAATGTTCCTGAGGACATTTATGGTTTTAGGATTGCTATGAACTGTGATGGATCGGATTGAGGCTTTATCTTGTATTCGATCCCTATTGACCCTGACAGATCTTGACTTAGGTGTGGATATCGGAAGGCTTTTTATCTTATCAGTTTTGTCGATAAGTATTTCAGAGGCACTTTTTAAGTGATTGATTAAGAAAAATACCGCGTTTCCAATGCACTAACAATTCTCAGCATCATGTGAAATCAATGCTCCGAATATTAAACTATTTCGAATTAATTACTTAATAATATCTCAAAAATACTTGCTAATAAGATCATTATTGTATATTCCAGTTGCGAGAATTAACAGTGTACTTTATTATTGTCTATATCTTCTTTTTCTTCAATATAGTTAGCTCGGTAATTTGTTTTCGAGCAATGATCTTTTTCAACGTGACCATATTTTTCACAAGAGCGGCATTGTAGTTTATCTCGAAATTGACAATCGATTTCCGAAGGATTTGTTTTTATATTTTGTTTTTTTTTAAGTACTCTAAGTTGGATATTTTTCCTTTGAGGTTTCTCCTCCCCTTTTATTTTTCCGCGATCTCTTTCCACCACTTTTAGATTTATGAGACCATATATTTTTTTTGAACTGAAAGGGTTGCTACATAAGTCTTTTTTCACGTGCCTCTATGGAGCCAATAAATTCACACACCAAGAAGTTTTCTATAGGGGCTACAATAGGATTGTTAGGCGTCACCGATATTTTTTCTACTATCCTTTGATAAGTGATATGATCTCAATATACTCTTATTTGATTTAGTAGTTCTTTTAATTCACCACAATATTGTTGGACAGTATTATAATCTTTCATTTTAGACTTTTTAGAGTTTTCCAATTCCCTTCGATGACCTTGATGGCCTGAACTGTAAGACGTAGTTCATTTTGGGCGTTGAGTCTGACGACAAAGTCTCAGGCAATCGAAATAGGAGTTCAGAGACAAAGGCAGGTGCTTTGGGATTCAAGAGAATGTCTTTCATGGAAGATTTGATGTACTCATTGTTCAGCTTCTCGACTCAGCCGTGGAGCTTGCCTAAACTGCCCACCATCCTGGTTTTCGCGAGGAACCTGATCACCGTTCCGACCGGCAATGCTAGGATGTGGAAGAGGAGGAAGTCAACAAAGTTCTTCCCACCTTAGGCAAATAGCACCCTCTCGCTGCTACTGTCCACAAGAAGCTTCAAGCTCACCCTTCCTGTCGCCGTTCTTTGGGTCACTGAATGCAGAGAGGAAGATAAGATTCATGAAATGCTATTTATGAGTTGGTCTAATGGACTTCATTTACACATATCAAAGGCCAAATTGTTAAGAAACGTAGGGAAGTGAAGAAGGCAGAACCAAATGAAGAGTCAAAGCCTGCTTACCAGTTGTAATCATCATGGAGAGATTAGACGTGTTTGGTCAAAATGAAAACCGGTCCAATACATCAATGAATCAAATAAATGTTCGTGCACGTTCAGACCTCGTTGCTTCTTGTCTTCTAGTAACTCATGAGGACTCATTCCCAAGTCTGTAATTTTCCCCTTCTTTAACTTGTCTTGTGCTAAAGCTGTTGAACGCTTCATGGCACTCCAAAACGGTTCTTACAGACATATTCATCGGGAGAAAACATCAGCAAATCGCTGCTCTGTAGGACTATTAGGTTGCTGGGGTAGTTTATTCCTGCTACTTTGTAAGATGCTGATGAAGCTATTCAATCCCCATTGCGAATAGAGTCTCTCTTATATATTAGCTAACTTAGAAATTAGTTTCTCAGTGACGATTGATCTGTGGTGCTATGGTCTGTAGGACTACATTGCCTCTAATGTACATATGCTTGTCAAGTTGCACAAATGTGTTTTATGTGAATAGATCCGTCTGTTCAAGAAATAGATAGACTTACTATGAACTGCTATCCCAAAGAAAATGAGAACATGTGTAAGATAAGGGCGACAATTACATTATTAGTAAGTAATTATAGGGCAGCGCAAAAACTCCTCAGTTAATACTGCATTGCTCTAGACAAGCTAGGGTCTGTAATACAAGGGACTGATTGTAACAACGGAATTTCTTGCCGAGGAACGCATCTGTTAGAACTGTCTTGGACCGTAACGATGCCTCCAGCAGCAATTCTCCCTGCAAAGTAACCACTAAAGGGTTGATACAATGTTAATTGTCGGAGACTTCATACACGTAAATTCTGAAAAAGAAAATAAAGGAATCATGACCAAATACATCGTCTGAATTTGTGCGGTGATACCAACTAATTAGATCAGTTGTGAGGATAAAAACGAAACGCGTGAAAGACGAAAAAAGCATGCATCCAAGAACTAGCCAGGAAAACAAATGCAGTTCGGTTCGGCTTACCTCGTCCACCCCAAAGTCAACAAACTTGGGCACAATCGTTGCATCCCTGTCATTCAACATGGCAATGCACGAGTCAGTAGTCATCGGCTTCACCACCAATTCATCCATCACCAAATACTTCACCAGCTCTTTCACATAACCACTCTCCTCAGCTGGCACTTCAACAAGATCCACTCTTCAGTCCATGATGGAGTCGCACCAAGGACATTTCACGGATGGGTCATCAGCGACCTTCCTATGGTAACAATTAAGTACAATCCCACCTTTCCCCACTGAAGGCTGGGGCATGCAACATATTAGCTACGCTGGTCGTCTCCAGTGGACGAAATCGGTACTTATTTTCATCTGTACCTTTTGGATACAAATGTTTTTACTTCCAAAGCAAACTATATATGAAATTGAAAAGAAGATTAAACATTTTTTGTGGGTTGGAAATACAGTAGGCCACGGATCACACAAAGTTGCTTGGGAAGTTGTTTGTTCGCCAAAAAAGGAAGGAGGTCTAGGGTTGCCTCATCTAAAATTATGGAACAAAGTTTTGCTTGGCCGTATGCTTTGGAACCTCATAAATTGTCCGTCATCTTCCTTGTGGAGTAAATGGGTCCATAGTACCAAGTGTAGAGGCAATTCGATTATGCAGCTCGAAATCAATGGCTCTATGGCATGGAGTTGGCGTTGTATTCTTCAACTAAGACCGGCTTTAGCTTCAATCATATCTAGACCAAGATATTGTTGCCAAGAGGTATACGATGAAACTAGAAATGTGAGACCGGCTGTGGAATGGTCCCAATTGATCTGGAAAGGAGGTATTAGCAAGCATAACTTCATCGGCTGGCTAGTTTGTAGAGATAGACTACAAACGGCAGAAATCATATCACGTTGGAAGCCTGAAGTAGATATTCATTGCAATTTTTGTATGTCTGGTCTGGAAAGCAGAGACCATCTATTCTTCCAGTGCACCTGGACTGAAAGTATTTGGCGCACTATTCTTGCACAATACGGAATTCGACACCCTGTAGAAGGATGGAATGATGAACTTAAATGGATGATCAATGCTACAAAAGGTAAGGACTTGGCGGCGAGACTTCTGAAGGTATCTTTCCTAGCGATCATATACTGCATTTGGATGGAGCGTAATCGTAGACGCTTCCAACAAAAGTCAAATGATGCCCTTATCATTTTGGCTAAAGTTCGCAAACTTGTTAGAGGGCGAGCTTCGCACTACAAATCTTTTAGACCGTCCCGAACAAATGAAACTTTGGCTACTATATGGAGACTCCCCACTCCATTTTTTTGTAATCTTAGTTCTATTTGTAATGCTGGGGAATGCCCCTAAACTTCTGTACGTCATCTTATACATACTACTTACATTTACACCAAAAAAAAAAAAAATTAAGTACAATCCTTAGTCGGGCACATGTGGCAGTGGGGCTGGTGTGATGAAGATGATGAATCACTAAGCAATAAAAGAGTAAACGGGACTTCTGGACCACGGTTGGGGAACTTGGGCTTCAAGAGTTTCTGCTTGTGGCGGGGAATCATGAAGTACACATCCTCCAAGTCCTCAATGCTCTTGTAAAGATTGCCTAAGTTGCCGTCCATGGAGTCGGCATTCCCGGCTTGAATGAGCGCGAGAGAGTCACGATTGGTAAGGCGTGGACATGGAAGAGGAAGTCCACAAAGTCTTTTCCTGCTTCCGCAAATACCACTCTTTGCTTGCTCTTATCGACCACGAGCTTCAACTCAACTTTGGTGTTGACTCCAGTATCTTCTTTTGATGAGTTGAGTCTATTTTTTTTCTTTGTCACTGGTCAATAGATGTTTCTGAGAAGTATATAGGTTTAGGATTGCAAGGCTTTTTTATCGTATGAATTTTGTCGACTGAGGATTTCAGAGGCACTCCTTAAGCAACCGATCAAGGATAATACGTAGTTTTCAATGTATTAGCAATTCTCGTGCCATGTGAAATCAATGATTCGATTATTGAACTATTTTAAATTAAGCATATTTAGTAGTATCTCGGAAATACTTGCTAATAGGACCATTATTATTATTATTATTATTATCATCTCGGAAATACTTGCTAATAGGACCATTATTATTATTATTATTATTATTATTATTATTATTATTATTATATATGCACCGGTTACGTGGATTAATAATAATTTCAAAATAGAGGAGATTAAAAAGCAGAACTTGTACTTACCAAAAAAAAAAAAGCAGAACTTGTATGATTTAACTAGGTATTAGAATTGAACGGAAGCCATCTGTCAATCCCACTTCGTAGTAAGACATCAAGAAAAGTGTCAGAAATGTTTTAAACTTATGCATTTTTTAGAATTTTTTTCTTTTATTTTCTCCTTTTTTGTTTTTTTCTTTTCCTTTTCCCAGTTGATCGGTCTCGGGCGATAGTAGGCAAGGTCTGACCCCGCCTAGGTGAGGGTCTCCTTCACTCGATTTGGCGAGGGCCACCCTTGTTGGCCACAGGCGAGGGTCAATTGCCCGTGGCCGGCGAGAGCCTAGGCGAGGTAGCCCTGGCCCAGATCTAACAAGGGCTTGCAGGCCCTTGCTTAGTGTCTGGCAAGAATTGCCAGGCCCTTATTTGCTGTAATAAAGAGAAAAAGAAAAAAATAAATTAAAATTTTAAATATATTTAGAAATTTTTTTAAAAAAAATGCAAAAAGTATCAACATCAAATTCAACGGTGCCATGTAGGGCAATTGGCGTCTATGTCAGCGATTTCTGTCCAAAATACGGTACGGAAGGACTACATTAGCATATTGCTTAAAGGTTTAGGACTAAATTAGTCAAATTGAAAGGTTTATAATTGAATTGACACAAGTGCGATAGGTTTATGACTTTTTTTTTTATTTCTTTTTTATGTAGGAATTCTTAATAGAAATAGTGGGTCTTCGACAATATCTCCTCTGAAATGTAAAATATATCTTTTTAATTTAAAAATTACAAAAAAAATTCATATGAGCTTAAAGGTCAACAGTTATATACTTTTGAAATTTAAAAATTAAAACTAAATAAAAACTAATGGTACACGCTACAAGTAAAAATAAAAAATAAAAATCGCCTCAAGAACACACCATGGACTAACTTTTAATTAAGAAAAGAGTAAAAGCCACCCATAAATTATGTTAACTGTAACATAATTATCCTAAACTTTTTTCTATTACACCAAAAATCCCAATCTTATAACTATGTGATACATTTGCATCCCGTTTACATTCTGTTAATGAGAACCATTAAAAATCTACCTATATAGATACCAAAAAGCAAGTAATGTTGACATGGCGCCCACATCACTTAAGTGAAATAGAGATGGCGTTGTTTTAACTGAAAAATCATCTAATGAAACATTGACAGAGGGTAAATGTGTCACATAAGTGTTAGTTTAAGGTTTTTTTATGTCATAAAAAAAAGTTTAAAGTGTGCTTTTTTCTTTTAAGAAAAGATAAAAAAAAATGTAAAAGAAAAAGAAGAAGAAGAAAACAAATGAAAGAGAGAGGGAGGCGAGGGAAGCGATGATGGTCTACAAGTGGCGGGCGGCCCCGACCACCCTGCTTTTCCCCGGTACCTTTCTTCCAAGTCACCGTCGACGTCAAACATCGTCATCGTTAAGTTAAATCGCTGCGTAGGCAGTTTTTGGGTCCACATGTTCAAAAGAAGAGCAACACCAACAAAAAAAAAACATATAATTTATGAATCCAATAAGTAAAAAACGATCATTATCCCAACACCAAGAGGTTAGGAAACTTAATTTTTCATTTTTAATTAGATCTTAAGCCGATCTCATTTTTTTCAGAGCATTTTGCAGACCAAACTGATGCAGAATCTATTAGTGAAGCGTTTTTGGACCGGTTGGACAGGCAGAAGTCCAAACGGAAGGCGAAACGGTGATGCGACTAAAACCGGTGGACCCGGTTGACGATATCGGATCGGGCTCAAATTCGGTCGTTTAAAGCGAAACGGCCTTCTGAACAAAACTCACAGCCTTTGGCTGTGATTAACGATGGATTTTAGCAATTCGGGATCGTTTACATGGGTTTTTCTATTTTTTAATAATTTTTTATGGGTTTTAATTTTAAGGGCAGTTTTGTAATTTTTATATTTTATGCTTTATAATCCTAATAGGGTTTGGTTTAGGGATATATAAGTTTGTTTTAGGGTTCTTTTTGAAGAACAGAACATTATCATCAATATTGAATTTCGAGATTTCTTTCTCTAAGCAAGGTTTTGCTTGAATTATTCGCTGATCTCATTTTTTTCAGAGCATTTTGCAGACCAAACATATGATATCATTTTGCACAATCAAATCCTAAATGATAAAACATGTGAGCTTTGTCGATCACGGCCTATTAGGACTATCAACCAGAATATAACTCCAACTTTATGCAAAACCTAGCAAAAATGCAATTTCGACTAAAAACAAAAAATTGCCCTGTTGACATTGGGTTAATACATGGATTAATATCACGAAAAATCTCAACTGATACACTTGTAACAAATTTATCTCAAACTAATATTTTGACCATTAAAAGTCATAAACTGGTACACCTGTAACAAATTTACCTTCCGTTAGTTTCCGTTAAATTGCTGAGTTTGATCATACGTGGCAGTTGACACGTTTACCAACTTGAGGTTTTACCCCTCTGTTTGTCACATATTTATCAATTTGTGATTTTTCGTGATATTAATTCAATTTAACGAAAGGTACATTTGTCATAAATACACCAGTTTAGATTTTTGGTGATCAAAAATTTAGTTCGGGATAAATTTATCATTGATATATCGGTTTAAGGTATTTTGTGATAAAAAAATTAGTTCGAAATAAATTTGTATCAGTTTAAGATTTTTCATGGTAATGCATTACTGTGAACAACGAAGACTCTATAGCGAAAATTGTGAACAAAGTCGTGTCGAAAATTGTCTAGAGAAGACTCTATAGCGAAAACTTACTCAAGAAGCACCCCCAGCGCCGAGCTACAGCAAAAAACTTCGCCACGAAGACCCTGTCTCAACACTTTTCAAAAGCCCTCGCCTTTTCCCTTACTCCACCATAGAAGAGGCGAAGCTCTCTGTCTGTGACCAAGACTTTGAGAAGAAGAAGCAGCTCTTAACAATTGCAGGGTCGAAGCGACGATCCGGAGGTGCGCATTTCGTTCTTACTCTGTGTTTTGTGAGCTCAGTTTCGCGATTTTTCTCTGTGGGCATTAAGAGCGGTTCGCTTGAACTTGCCACGTCCATTCATGTGATCCGATCGACGCCCTTGCGAGTCTGTGTTAGCAGAATGAAATTGAAGTAGACATGCTCACATGTCGACATGCATTGCCGATGATTTTCCCCAGCAGTTGTTTTTAGAGTATCATATAGTTTCTAACTTTTGATCGTCGACCCTCGTCGTACTTTGCTTCCGCTGATGTTATTTGTCTTCAACTTCATGGAGAGAAACTAAAACTGGGAGGAAAATCTAGTGTAGTTCTGGAACCAGAACTAAAAGGAAGTTCCGGGATTTATGATGCGGTAACGTTTATACATGGAGCAAGACCTCTACTGTGTAGTCTTAATGTTGGATAATTTTCTCGTATCATTATGCCTCGTCGCATCAACACAGGATAAAGAGGCGAGGATTAACGAGAAATATTAAATGCTGGAAGAATTCAGTACAGATGATTTGCACAGTTTTTTCTGCATTTCGATGAATCTCTTACTTTGAAGAGTCATGGAGTTGGAAGGAAACTTTGATTTTCTTTAACCAAAAGCATCCTAATTCACTCCGTGTTATAGTGAAATGATGGATTAGAACTGTCTTATCGGTACAGTTAATTCTCTGCACAGACCAAGTCTGAGCATGGAAGCAACCAAGATGAGTTTGAAGCTTCTCGTTGACAAGAGAAACCAGACTGTGCTCTTTGCCGAAGCCGAAAAGGACTTTGTGGATTTCCTTTTCCATTGTCTGGCTTTGCCAGTCGGAACTATTATGAGCCATCTGGCTAAAGCAGGCACGGTGGGTGGCTTTGGCAATCTTTACAAGAGTGTCGAAAATCTCAGTGACACATACATTAAACCTAGAGAGAAAGATGCTCTTTTGAATCCTAAAGCACCGAGCTCTGGTCCAGATGTTCTGCTCTTATTGTTGCCCGAAGCTCCGCCTTCTGTGCCAATTACCTACTACACTTGTCCTCGTATTTCCAGCGATTTATTCGGTGTAAACAATTCATGCCGTAGCTGTGTGACGGGTTCCCCTTCTACAATATGTCCTGGTTGCAACAAAACGATGAGCAAGAAATTGTCATGGGTTGTGGGACCAGCTGCCGATGCCACATCCCCGGCTGAGGTACCCGGTGGGGACGGTGGTTATGTGAGTGGCGTCACGTACATGGTGATGGACGATCTGGTTGTGAAGCCCATGTCCCCCATCTCTGGCATTACTCTCCTCAAGAGGTTCAATGTGCACGAAATCGAGGATCTTGAAGAGAAGGTGGTCGACTTCGGCTTGGATGAGGTAAGGCCTGCAGAATTCGCAACCTCTTACAGTTATGATTCAGTTCTGAGTATGTGAACTATTGCGAAAGTGCTATTACCGTTTCCTATAAAAGCAGCCGCAGTGTCCTTTCTCAAGTACCCTTTTTAACTTTTAAGATCATCATCTTTGATCAGGCCATAAAGCTGTTGAACGCTTCATTGCACTCCAAAACGGTTCTCACGGACATATTCAGCGGGAGGGAATCAGTGAAACGCTACTCTTCAACTCTAGAAACTAGTCTTTGTTATATATTTGCTTGCTGGGGTAGTTTATACATGCTGGTTTGTAAGATGCTGATGAAGCTATTCAATCCCCGTTGAGAAATTACTTTCTGTTATATATAAGCTTACTCAGAAATCAGTTTATGGTGATAATTGATCCGTGGTCCTATGGTGTGTAAGACGTATGTTACCTCTAATGTACACATGCTTGTCAAGTTGCACAAATGTGTTTTATGCGAATAGCTCCGTCAGTTCACGAAATTGATATATCTACTATGTACTGCTTTCCCAAAGAAAATGAAAACATCTGCAAGGTAAGTGCGACAATCACATGATTAGTAAGTAATTACAAGGTATTGCCAAATTCCTCTGTTACTACTGCATTGCCATAGACAAGCTAGGGTCTGAAATACAAGGGACTGATCCTAGCAAAATCATTTCGGCCTTCCTTGCCAAGGAAGACATCGGTTAGAACTGTCTTGGACTGTAACAATGCCTCCAGCAGCAATTTTCCCTGCCAAAGGAACCACCAAAGGGTGTGTATTATGTTAATTGCCGTCGACCGAACATACTGTAAATTCTGAGAAAGAAATCAAAGAAATCAAGACCACATATACCGTCTGAATTTTGTTCGAGGCTCTTTGGTCCAGTACTCACCAATCAGATCAGTTGTGAAGATAAAACCAACCGCCGTACATGTGGTGAAAGACGGAAAAAAAAGCATTCATCCAAGAACTAGCCAGGAAAACAAATGTAGTTCGATTTGGCTTACCTCGTCCACCCCAAAATCAACAAACTTGTCCACAATTATGGCAGCCTTGTCCTTCAACATTGCGATGCACGAGTCAGTAGTCATTGGCTTCGCCACCAGATCGTCCATCACCACATACTTCACCAGCTCTTCCAGGTAGCCACTCTTCCTGGCTGGCACTACAACGAAATCCACTCTTCGGTCAATGATGGTGTCGCAAGGAGGACATTTCACGGAAGGGTCGTAGGCGACCTTCTTACCATAATAAGTACAATCCTTAGTCGGGCACAAGTAGTAGTAGGGTTGGCGTGATGAAGATGGTGAATCACTAGGCAATAAAAGAGCGAACGGGAATGTGATGTTTGAACCACAGTTGGGGAACTTGGGCTTCAAGAGGTTCTGCTTGTGGCGGGGCATCCTGAAGTACATATCCTCCAAGTCCTCAATGCTCTTGTAAAGATTGCCTAAGCTGCCGTCCATGGAGTCGGCTTTCCCGGCTTGAATGCGCTCGAGAGTCGCGATCGGCAAGGCGTGGACGTGGAAGAGGAAGCCCACAAAGTCTTTTCCTGCTTCCGCGAAAACCACTCTCTGCTTGCTCGTGTCGACCACGAGCTTCAGCTTCAACTTTGGTGTTGATTCCATTATCTTCTTTTGCTGAGCAGAGTCTTATTATGTTTCTTTGTTACTGGGAAGTACATATATATAGGGGCTTGGAGGAAGGCAATGAGACAGTAGCGAAGAGTGCATCATGCATTGTTTGGCCTCATCATCTCGAAAAAGAAAAATCAATACATTGGATGATGATGGATAAAAGGGAACTGGGAGGGTTTCATGAATCTAAATATGAATGTTCCTGAGGACATTTATGGTTTAGGATTGCTATGAACTGTGATGGATCGTGTTGAGGCTTTATCTTGTATTCAATCCCTATTGACCTTGACAGATCTTGACTTAGGTGTAGATAACGGAAGGCTTTTTATCTTATCAATTTTGTCGATAAGTATTTCAGAGGCACTTTTTAAGTGATTGATTAAGAAAAATACAGCTTTTCCAATGCACTAACAATTCTCAGTATCATGTGAAATCAATGCTCCGAATATCAAACTATTTCAAATTAAGTACTTAATAATATCTCAAAAATACTTGCTAATAAGATCATTATTGTATATATGAACCAGTTACGAGAATCAACAATGTATTTTATTATTGTCTTGTATCTTCTTTTTCTTCGATACAATTAGCTCGGTAATTTGTTTTTGAGCAATGATCTTTTTTAACGTGACCATAATTTTCACAAGAGCGGCATTGTAGTTTATGTCGAAATTAACAATCAATTTCCGAAGATTTTGTTATATTTTGTTTTTTTTTTGTAAGTTCTCTAAGTTGGATATTTTTCCTTTGAGGTTTCTCCTCCCCTTTTATTTTTCCGCAATCTCTTTCCACCACTTTTAGATTTGTGAGACCATATATATTTTTTAAACTGAAAGGGTTGTACCATAAGTCTTTTTTCACGTGCCTCTATGGAGCCAATAAATTCACACACCAACAATTTTTCTATAGGGGCGACAATAGGATTGTTAGGCGTCACCAATATTTTTTCTACTATCCTTTGATAAGTGATACGATCTCACTATACTCTTATTTGATTTAGTAGGTCTTTTAATTCACCACAATATTGTTGGACAGTATTATAATCTTTCATTTTAGACTTTTTAGCGTTTTCCAATTCCCTTCGATGACCTTGATGGCCTGAACCGTGAGACGTAGTTCATTTTGGGCGTTGAATCTGAAGACGAAATCTCAGGCAATCGAAATAGGAGTTCAGAGACAAAGGCGGGTGCACCGGGTTTCAAGAGAATGTCTTTCTTGGAAGATTTGATGTGCTTAGTTAAGCTTCTCAACGCAGCCGTGGTGCTTGCCTAAACTGCTCACCATCCTGGTTTTCGCGTGGAGCTTGATCACTGTTCCAACCGGCAATGTTAGGATGTGGAAGAGGAAGTCAACAAAGTCCTTCTAACCTTTGGTATATCGTTAAAAAGTTTAAGACTAAATTAGTACAAATACAATAAGTTTTATGATTTTTTTGGTAATTAACCCCTCCCTCGAATTACATAATTGACTTTTCTTTTTCACAAGTATTAAGTGGGAAATATAAGTCTAGCAGGGTAAAGGGCTAAAGACATGGGTTGTAGATCTATATTTTAGAGGTATTAAGATTGTATAAGTCATCAATTTCCATATTTCGGTATAAAACTAAATAATTACTTCCGACTATATTACTGATAGTTCTAATAACACTAAATGGCAAGGCATTTCTTATTCATGTAGGAATTTCTTAATAGAAATAGTGGGTCTTCGATTATATCTCCTCTGAAATGTAAAATATATCTCTCCAATTTTAAAATTACAAAAGAAGAAGAAGAAGAAGAAGATTCATATGAGCTCAATGATTATATACTTTTGAAATTTAGAAATCAAAACTAAATGAAAACTAATGGTAAACGCTACAAGTAAAAAAGGTAAAAATCACCTCAAGAACACACCGAGGGCTAACTTTTAATTAAGAAAAGGGAAAAAGCCACCAAAAAATCTAAATTATGTACACCGTGACATATTTACTCTAATTTTTTTTACACTATAAATCCCAAATTT